GGGGGCAGAGCTCAGGGGGGTGAGGGGTGTCCACTCTGGGGGGCAGATCTCAGGGGAATGGGGGGGTCCACTCTTGGGGGCAGAGCTCAGGGGGGTGAGGGTATCCACTCTCGGGGGCAGTTCTCAGCAGAGAGGGTGTCCACTCGCGGGCAGTTCTCAGCAGGGAAGGGGTGATATCAACTCTGGAGGGGCAGTTTCAGCGGGGGGGGGGGAGCGCGGTTCTCAGCAGGTGGCTGACAGCCCTCCTGGAGCCCACCCCCTGCTCCCAAAGGCCCCCTTGCCTGCCTGTGACTTTCTAGTGAGGCTGGCCTGCAGCAGTGGGGGTCCACAGAGCAGAGCCCCTCCACACGCGCTGTGGTGCCCCTCAGTGGCACAGGCGGCACCCAGAGACAGCACCTGGACTCACCCTCACGGGGACCCTCTCTGCCCACTCCCCAACGCCCAGCATCTTCTGGGCAGCAGTGCCCACCTGCAGAGTAGTACCCCGCACCTCAGCCTGTCACTTGCTCGTTCCCCTGGGACTGCCACTGCCATCCCCAGGTGCAAGGGAACAGGACAGCCCTGCCTGGGTGCTGCTAAGAGCATGAGCATCCTGAGGTCCCTCGGGAATGGGGCGAGGGCCCTGGACTTCCACGGCCATGCAGAGCTCCCGCTGTTATCTCCCAAGGGGAGGACGGGTGCCGTGCAGGAAATGGCCCAGCCCATCCGCTCGATGCCCGCGGCTCCCGCTCCTGCCACACCCTGCGGAAGGACCCAGGACCCCGGAGTGATTCGCTTCCAGGCGGAAAGTGAGAAAGACGGTGTGCAGTGTGTGCTATGCTGTGCCTCCCCCCGCCACAGGACGTGCCGCAGAGCAGGGCTGCAACCCCCGTGAGGACCCCCGAGGGAGAGAGAACCTGCCGTTGCGAGCCCTGAGGCGGAGGCGCCGGGCTGGGTGCGCCTGTCCTGACTGACAGAACAAGTCAGGAGCCTGGCTGGATGCCATTCTTCACCACCACCCCCCGCGCCCCCCCCCACAGTTGCCCAAGTACAGCCAAAGGGCTGCAAGCAGCCACTTACACCATCCCGACCAGACGGCCAGCGCCCGTCACTGGCCCCTCGCCGCGCCCTTGGCAGGCCCACCCCCCTCACTGTCTTTCCGAGACAACCCAGCCCGCTCGCCCTCCAGGAACCACAGGCTGACATGGGCGCATCCGCAGGCGGGCCCTGTGCCTGGCTTTGGGGAGCCTGTCCCCCGCTCCAGGCCGACGCTCTGGAAGGAAGAGAGTGGGGCTGTGCTCAGGGCCATGCTCCACAGGGTCCTGAGCCAGGCCCACACTGTGGTCCCCTGCTCACCACACTCTCCTCTGCTCTGACGCCAGCTGCACAGGTGGCACTTCCTCCTCTGACCCCAACCACCCAGAGCGAGGCAGACCTCACAAGGGAGAGGGCGCCGTTCTCCAGACAGCCACGTCTGCCCAAGACCTCAACACCCGCTGCAAGCTTGGAGTCTCCAGAGACCCTCACTTCTGAGCTGCTGGCTCCAAACTCAAGGGCTCCCTCTACCCCTTCAGGATACCAGCCACAAGCTCAGGGTCCCCAGGGCTCCTTCCACTTCTGACCTGCTAGTCCCACTACTCCCTTGGGTTTGATAATCCACTAGAGTGACTCACGGAACTCATGGAAAGCACAATACTTAGGGTTACAGTTTTAGTCAGCAAAAAGGATGTGATTCAGAACAAGTAGGAAAAAAAGACGCATTGAGCGAGGATTCCAATGCAGAACTTCCACGTTCCAAAAAGGCCTGCCCAACTCCCCCACACGCATTGTCGTTTATCACCAACCAGGAAGCCCACGGAGCTTCTGTACCCAGGGCCTTTACTGGGGCCCCAGTATACAGCCATGATTCACTAAATCATGTTGCCTCCCCGTGAAGTCAGTCGATATCAGAGGTGGTCTTTTTAGCCTGGCCAGCCCCTACCTGAGTCACCTCATTAGCATAAACCTTCAGATGTAGTCTGGAGGCCTCATCAAAGGCACTTCAATTACTGGGGAATTTCCAAGGTTTTAGAGGTTATCTTTCAGGACTCAAGGACAAAGACCAAATTTTTTGGGTAAATTTAACTTTAAACCTCATAATACCAAACGTTGGAAAGGATGTGGAGCAACTGGAACTCTGATACACTGCTGGTAGGAAAGTAAAATGGTACTTTGGAAAACCATTTGGCAGTTTCTTAAAAAATTAAACATACACCTACCACAGGACCTGGCCATTCCTCTCCTAGGGATGATGAAAACATATGTCCACACAAGGATGTATCATATATGTAGCATATCCATACAGTAGAGCACTACACCCAAAAAAACCAAACACGTTGCCGTTGAGTCGATTCCGACTCGTAGTGACTCTATAGGACAGAGCAGAACTGCCCCATAGGGTTTTCAAGGAGCACCTGGTGGATTTGAACTGCCAACCTTTTGGTTAGCAGCCGTAGCTCTTAACCACTACGCCACCACGGTTTCCAGTAGAGCACTACTCAACAATAAAAGTCAGGAACTCTTGGTAGACAAAATACATGGGTAAATCTCAAAATACTGATGCTAAGCAAAAGAAGTCAAACCAAAACAGCATATTGTATGATTCTATTTATATCATATTCTAGAAAATGTAAACTAGTCTATAGTAACAGAAAGCAGATCAGTGATTACCTTACCATTGGGGGGGGTGGGGGAAGGGAAAAGAAGGGGTTACAAAGGGGCATGAGGAAATGGGGGGTAATGGATATGCTCGTTATCTGATT